TTTGGCTCGCCACTCGCTTCCAACGACAGATGTGCTTAGCAGACGGAATATGTCAACAAGGGACGCATGCCCTTTGTGCGGGGTAGCTGATTCTTGGCGTCATGCTTTACTAGCTTGCACCTATGCACGGTGCACTTGGGCGTTGGCGGATCCTGTACTGGTGTCCAAAATGGCGGCAAGCGAGGAACCCCAAGCCAAAAACTGGCTCTTCCAGCTCAATGAGGACCTTGACCGCAACCTGTTTGTACCAATGGTGGTGACCCTTTGGTCGATATGGTATTTACGAAGACGAGCTATCCATGAAGGTATATTCCAATCGCCGGGGCAAACTTCATCTTTCGTCGAGCGATACATATCTGAACTTAGTCAGGTTCCTTCCAAAGGGCCTATGAACAACCCTGGGGAGGCGGGGCGACCCAACGAACCTCGGGTATGGCTACCATCGCTGGAGGGAGTAGCCAAAATCAACGTGGATGGCGCCTTGGCGCGCAACAGAAGAGGAGGTGCAGTTGCCGCGGTGTGCCGTGATCATACTGGGATATACCTCGGTTCATCCGCGGTGGTATTTAATGGAATCAGAGATCCAACAATTCTTGAAACCTATGCTTGCAGGGAAGGCATGGCTCTGGCGGATGATCTTCTACAACGGAAAATAAAGGCGGCGTCGGATTGCTTGGGAGTAGTGAACGACATCAACAAAGGCACGGGAGGCGTGCATGCTGCCATTGTTCATGAAATATCAAGTCATTGTAATAGTTTTGATTTATGTTCCTTTATTCATGAGTCTAGAAACCATAACTTTGAGGCTCATAACCTCGCCAAATTTGCTTGTAATCTGAATGTAGGTAGGCACGTATGGCTGGTTAACCCCCATGACCCAGCACATGTGCCTATGAACATCCTTGATCAATAAAGTGGCGAGGTTTCTTCTAAAAAAAAGCACGGGTCCTCTTCTCCTCTTCCTGGAGATGGCACGGCACTGCCGCCATGAATCAAGCCGCCACGCGCGGCCGGTCTACCTCTCCAGCTACCCTCCAGCAGCACAGCTGTTGCCCTGTTCTTCCCCTCCCCGGCCGCCCCAACTCCTCACCCCCGGCCTCGTCCGCCTCGAGGAGAACGGCTCTGATTTGGATAGGGTTCGATGGCGTGTTCACGCCGCCACGTGCGGCCGGTCTTCCTCTCTAGCTATCCTCCAGCAGCGCGGCCGTTGCCCTGTTCTTCGCCTCCTCACCCGCCCGAACTCCTCACCCCCAGCCTCTTCCGCCTCGAGGAGGACGGATCCGATTTGGAGCTCAAGTACTGCCTCCCCGACACCTCCATCCCCAAGTACGTCCTCCCGTCAGACGAGGACGAGGTGCGTACTCTGCTTTTTCTATTGGCTACTAGTAAAATGCCCGTACTACGCTACGAAATCGCAACAGGTGGGAATTGTTTACTCAAGTGTTAGGAGCCTTTGAACAATAATAGATTTACCAAGACCTCAATCAAAGTGATGCCATATTGTTAAAAAGTACACACCAAGCAAAATCAAACACATGGTTTGCGGCCGATGAATCCCTCATCCAAGCCAAACATTTCTTCTCAATTTTCACCTTGTAGAAGACTTGTTGCTCTCCAAACCCAGCTTTCTCATTGTTGTCCCATATTGAGGGGACAGAGAGCATGCACAAATCAAAAATTCATCCACACACATTTGGCAATTGCGATGACCCCAACCAGTCTTGGGTAACACAGGATCCACCTCTAGTCCGCACCCCATTAACCGCTAAAAGAATCTACATACAACGCCACTATGAAGAGAAGCAATATTTTAGACCCATTCATGCTTAGTTACATACCTTAGGAATCTATGAGGCCATGGAATGATTCGCCAAGCATGGTTGTTTGCACAAAACATATGTGCTAATAATATTAGCCCTTGAGCTCTCGCTTCACCTATCTTCTCACCTAAAAACGGTACTTAGTATATATAACAGTCTGTAGAATATTTAGACAAAGGAAAAATAAGGAACCTTTAGAGGGTCTGTGGTATATTAGGAAAATGAAAAAACAAATTGACATAACTTTTAGTACATTTTTTTTTTGAGAATCAAGAGCTTGTATGATGAAGGAATGTACTCCCGCTTAACTTTCAGTACATTTTGTATGGAGGAAAGAAACAAAATGTAAAGTTAAAGATGCTCTTGAATCATATGTATATAGAAGGGGTGAGTGCACCTGTACGTACATACAAAAATATTTGTATTGAACTACTTGTAACTTTCTTACATCAACCAGGTTTCTGCAAAAAAAAAAAAAAATTGATAACACACAGCGATAATTTGGGGTTCAAAGAGCATGGTGATGATCCCCGTTTGACGTGCCACATTGTCATTGACTCTACCGCCTATGAGCGTCTTCTTCGATTCACAAAGTCCTTTAGTGGCATGATGCTCCCTCATGCCCGATGACAACAGGTGATGGTGATTATAGTTGCAAAACACCCTATGGTTTATTATTATTTTTCTAGGGTATTCTATAAATATTCCAACATAGTGTCCTCTTCCAGATGTTTTTCGTGGTTTCCACATGTATGTGTTGCACGGTGAAATGTGTTTAATGGATGCATGATAATTCTTAGAAAAGGAGAACAAGTGGAGACACAATGAAGACTAAATTCCAGAAAGATTCTTAGAGGCCAGCAGAAAACCTACATACTGCCCTAGTTTGGGTGGTTTCCAATTCAAAGATTCTAGTATTTCCACCGCAAAACACACACTAGCATTTCCTCGAGGGAGGCCGCCGATTCTGCTTCAGATGTGACATATTGGCTTGGTGAGTTGCCTTTACTTGCCTTCTTGCGTTTTTAGGAGTAATATAGGCCGGAGGCGGTGACAGGACAGAGCATTAGTGCCAAATTTACCCCCCCCCCCTCGATGTTGATACTGACATTCTTGACTAAACCGTTGCCCTTGTTCGGGCACACCCTCCTTGCCAACATTCATGTTGAGCCTTTTCATAGCTTGACTTTTTATCTCACTTGGTTCTATGCCATCTCCGTCCTTCACCTCCTGCTATTTTCATGGGGCTTTGAGCTATATCAACGGTATCTTCTTCCTCCCCCAAACCTACATCTTCGGAGCTTCTTTTTCATGGGATTCCACCACGATCGCGTCGTCTACATCGGAAGCGACCCTGTGAGGAGCTCATGCCACCGCGACCACCACCCTGGGAGACCCGGGTCTTCCTTCTCTTTGCCACCAACCATTTGCCCCATTGTATACTATTGGGCGGATGTACGCCGTTGTTGGATTCCCCCATATCATGCCCTAGCAAACCGCAAACCTCACAGAAGTAACTGCTTTTTTTTCATACTCCACATCCAGAAACAATCTTTATCTAGCCAGGTTTAATGAAGTTCATCGTATCAAGGGCTTGCTCACTTCAATCTTCACCCCTACTAGCACATAATTGCTCTCAAAGTACCACGTAGGGTTCAGCTCAACGCTCCGCACCGTCCCAATTCTTCGAGCTAATCGGTCCATAATCGGACCTTTCCTATATAAATCTGGAATCTTATGTATTTGTGCCGCACAACGAGACCCTGCAAGATTTATTGTTTTCGGCGCCTTTTCCCCATCAAAATCTTCAAGCAACACCATGAGACCACAGAAGATCTAGGGCTCTTGAAACATCACCCTCTTACAGTCTTCGAGACAAAACATCTAGACCACTAAAAGATTGTCCTCTACCTCTCTCATTTGTGGCTCATGGGCTAGGTTCTAGATGAATATCAATGTTTCCTTGAACACCGCACTGCTGAAGTTCTTGGTGGTGTGTACCTTCCCCACCTCCATCCAGCGTGGCGATTTGGCCATCTCGTCGGTCTCCTCAAGCCCCACGTACATGTCGTTAAGTTCCCCTTCCTGCAGCCTCATCTTCCTCAAAGCATCCTCCATACCCCCCTAGGATTGCTTCTTCTTTCCTCTATCTGCCCCTCATGAACTCGAATTAGGGCTGCCATGACGACACACTTGAAAGCCTTGAAAGGTAACGAACGAAGATGCAATCACTCGGGTGCTGTCCACAGCGGAGACCAATGCAAGGCCGGGCGAACGGGCCAACCATTCCCGTAGTCAGCCAAAGAATCTGGACGACGAATACCAGAGGTGGTGAGCAAACAGTAGGAGCAAGTCGACACCCGCAGGAGGTACCGATGGAGTAGGCTAAACCCTAATCGCCTCGATAGGGTAGTGTTGATATCTACTAGCTTCTTGAACAAGTGGAGACATGTTGAAGGTTAAATCCCAGAAAGATTCGTAGAGGCTAGTAGAAACCTAAGGCCCTGTTCGGATCCCCTCCGCTCCCCAACTGCAGCTCCCGGAGCGGAGGGAGCGCCAGCACAATTGCGCGGAGCGGCTCCAACCCAGCTCCTCGCGCGGAGCGGAGTTGAGAGTCTGGAGAGCTTCCGAACAGGCTCTAAATACTGCCTAGTTTGATTTTTTTAGGAGATGCCCTAGTTTGGATGGTTTCCAATTATTATTTTTTAATTAAAGCAAAGCTTTATTATGCAGATAGTTTGGGCATGTCGCCCATTACACAAGATGCCCTCCCACTGGAAGGCTTCATTTTCAGTACAATTGTAACCAAACTTAGCAAGATGGTGTGCAGCATTATTAGCCTCCCTACGACAAACTTTTTTTTTTTTTGCATGGTCCCTACGACAAACTTGGATGGCACATTTGGAGAACCATAGTCTCTTTTGCAGCTTTACATCTTCCAATTTATACACGCTGTAGCATTTCCAGCGCAAAAGAAAAAAAAACACTAGCATTGTCTCTAGCATTTTGAACCTTTTCTTTTTTGGCACAAGAAGGGCCCGTTACAAGCCCACTTCGGCAGCACAAAGGAATCGGAAAAATCACTCTCCCCCAACTCAGCAGGCAGCCGCACACATCCGCCGCCGCCGGCACCTCCGCGAGGTTTCCCGGCGGCCACATGCTCTGCCGACCGGTCAGGAGATGCCGTCACCTCTGACGGACCTCCCCGTCCACCTCCTGGCCGAGATCTTCCTCCGGCTGCCGGACCCGACTGACCTCGCCTGCGCCTCCGCGGCCTGCGTCACCTTCCGCCGGCTCGCCACCGACGGCTCCTTCCTCCGCGCCTTCCGTGGCCTCCACGCCCCGCTCCACCTCGCGCTCGTCAACCTCGGCGGGTTCCACCCAGCCCTCCCGCCTCACCCCTCCGCGCCCACCGCCCGCGCGCTCGCCCTCGTTGCCGACTTCAAGTTCTCCTTCCTCCCCTCCCACCGCCAATGGATCGTGTGGGACGTCTGCGACGGCCGCGTCCTCCTCTCCCGCAAGATCACAGAAGACGGGCAGCCCCGAGTCTTCCCGGAGCTCGCGGTGTGCGACCCCTTGCACCGGCGGTATGTCCTGCTTCCCCCGGTACCTGACGACCTAGCCGCTTCGGTGGAGCACCGGCTCCCCCATCCTTTCCTCGCTCCCCTCGGCGAGGAGGAGGAGGCGGCGCCCACGGAAGAGACGGCATTCAGGGTGATCTGTTTGGCACTTGGCAAAACTAAGCTGGCAGCCTTCGCCTTCTCTTCAAGCACGGGACAATGGCGAGATGCTGCGTCCAAGGATTTGAGTGATTTGGGCCTTGGCATGCGTGACTCAGACATGATTTCATGGATGAACCCTTTTTACCTCAGGCGCCATTATGCTTATGGCTGCTTCTACTGGGATTTTCTCGTGGTCAAGCGGAACCTGTTGCTCGTGCTTGACATCAGGAGGATGGAGCTCTCCATTGCAGAAGTCCCACCCGGAGGATGGTATAGGGAAGGTGTAGCCATCGTTGAGGCAGGGGAAGGCAGGCTTGGGATGTTTGGTCTCCGTGGTGAACATGAAACTGCATCTGATCTCAGATATGCCATTGTGCGAAACAGAGGTGAGAGTCCCAACCAGTGGCTGATGAAGAAGACAATCTCACTAGATTCTGGGTACCACTATTTTATCAAAGCTGTAACAGAGAGGTGTTTGCTGTTGATGAGAACAGAATCCCTGCCAGGTTCACCTATAGAGAAGCCACTCCTTGAGTATTTCACAATGGACATCGAGACATTGCAGCTTCAGAGGCTTTGTGCGAAACAATTCAAGCTTAGGCTGCCCCCGTCAAGCATATATGCCTACTTTTTTCAAACCGGGATATATACCAACTTTCCACCATCGTTGTTACCTCCATGGACAGTATGAAGTGGTAAAATTTCTATTGCATCCTTGTTACCTCCTTCCCTTTGTAATTATCGCACAGCTTATCTAATTCTTCATTGTTCATTATTGCAATTGATTATTCTTGTTTACATGATTTGTTAGTATTTGTTTTCTCGTGTGTGGGAAAGCTAAGCATGCTTGAGAGCATATTTGTGTTCTGTTTTCTTGTTTGTTCCAACTGGCATTTTAATTAAACAAGGTTGGTAAGAAAAAAAATATCTTGGACACTGTGAGTAGCTTATGCACGAGTTCTGATGGAACCACAAAAAACACTACATCACGATAATTATTTCCAATGTAACATAGAAGGAATACAAGTTTGGATCCAGTTTACCTTGGATTGTTTCACCTCAAGAAAATTCATTAAGGTCAAGGACAACTCATCTTCTATATTAGTATTCTTTTGATAGATATATAAGTAGGGAGAAAAGTTTCCTTTTAATCATCTTATAATTTATTAGTTTTATGTCGCGATGTTATTTAGAAATCTGCACAATTTGGTACGGTCAGAAACAAGATTCTGATTTACTGTTTTAAATACTAAGAATAGCTTATGCTCACAAGCTGTTTTAGCTGAAATCAACCTCAAGGCAGTGCTTATCGCTGCACAGACAACCAAAATTCCTGTTTATTTCAGGCAATCTCGACCACTTTTAGATCCTCATGCCATGGTAGTTCTCCTCGTGTCATGGCAGATCATATGGGTGAGATGATTGACTTAAACTTTCCCTTGGAGGCACAACAGCCTATTTTTCGGAGAAACCTGAAAAGAAAATGGTCGGTGTGTTACGTAAAAGCAAGGGAAAATAATACTTTGTCGTGAAAACATATTAACAATCCTGCTGTTAGCACCACCATCATCATTCTTATTTCCAAGTAAGACAAAAGGGAAATTCGTATGGTCTGATGTGCTAGCCTGCAATGGCAATGACAGGCCAAACTTTCAGTATAACATATTGCTGTACATTTGATTTATCAGCTACTCCACCCGTCCCATAATATAAGAGCGTTTTTGACACTACTGTAGTGTCAAAAACGCTCTTATATTATGGGACGGAGGAAGTACTAAACAAGCTACATACTTGAATTAGGAGTTCCCCATGTCAACAGGCAACAGTCAGCTCACTGGTAATACGTCACACCAAGACTCTGAAAACTTTGCTGTCCTGAGGTGGTTTCAGGTGCTTGTGCATTAGCAGTTCAACGAGATGAATCTTTTATTTGTTTCCTTTCTGTGAATCCCTTTTGTACTGGGATCGATGGCAGACAGCACCTAGTGTGTTGGTTCTTGCTACCAATACACAGCAGTTTCTTTCATTTTTTCAGTTGAATTTTGTTATACTGCTAGGTGCCTAGGTAGTACATGAACTCCTGGAACATAAATGTACCAATTCTGCGTGACTCAAGTTTTTCACAAATCGTTTCCTTTATTATGTTGGCGTGCCTCTGTTTGGCTATGTATTCCAACCTGTGTTTCAAATTACAAGGCTAAGCACACTGAACGAGTGTTTTGCAGTGACACATTTCAAATTCAGCTAACAGCAGTATAGCAATGAAATACTCCCTCCGATCCAAAATAAGCGTTGAAATTTGAACTAAAACCACGACACTTATTTTGGATCGGAGGGAGTACTACATAAGTGCATATAATTTGTTCGTTTAATAGGTCGTAAGATCTCAAACATGTGTACAAGTTGGACCCAAGTTTCTTCTCTGGTATTCTAAACTTATGTCCTTTTGTTTGTCCAGATTCAGTGGAGTCGCCAATAGATCAGCTTTTCTGAGTTCAAAGTGGTTGCTGCTTCGATAGCATGGAGTTGTCACCAGATGTGATCCACCTTTTTTTTTAGAACAGAGGCTCCAGAAGAGCCCGGCTTTGAATTAACAAAGCCATCAACCGGCCAGGATTACAAACTCGAAACCAACACAAGAAATCGAAAAAACGACAAGATACAGAGGCGCTGGACAGCAGCACACAAGCCTCACACACACAGCTAAATGATCGAACAAGGAGACACACAGCTCAGGGATGTGTAGGTCCTCATTTGCATACAAATCACCAGGGAGAAGGAGAATGTCAGCACAGGAGCAGCATTTCTGACGGCGAGGAAGGGCATGTTGTCGGCAAATCACCAGCGGCCCCGGATTGCCATGTCCTCCCAGCTCCACTGTCAAAGAAGACCCCTGTCTCCTTGCCTGGCTCGAAGGCGCCGAACCGTTGACAATGTAGCAATTCACCCTAGAACCTGGGAGGAAAGACACCGGCAGGCTGCATCTAGAAAGGAACCTAGCTCACCCGACTAGCCACGGAATGATCTCATGGAGCAGAGCACCACCCAACACCCACGGACTGGACACGAATGAGAAAGAGCTGCCGGAACGGAACGGACGAAGGAGCAGTAGCATAGTGTCCCTGTAGGCGTTGAGCCACTGAAGATCTCGCCGCAGACAAAGAAGACCAGCTACTGCCGCCGCTGCACACCCACCACACGCCGAGAAGCCCACTGCCCACCTAGCTCCCAAAAACGGCACCTTCAGGAAGGACGCGACGCCAAGGGCGCCGCCGCTGCCCAACAGAGTTGAGGTTTTCACCCGGGAGACTAGAAGGAGTGGGGGGGGGTGGGGGGCGTCGGATCTGACCTGAACGGCGCCTCCGGGGAGGGGAACGTCGCCACGAGCGTCGCCGCCGCCAAGACCGTCGAGGCCGGCCTAGAATTTCTCCCGGTCTTCGAATCCCCGCCTCCACCACCCCAACGACGCAAGATTCGGCGGCCCACAAAGAAGCCGGATAGATCCGGCCGGGGCGGAGCTCTTGAAACAGGGGGCAGGGGCGGCCAGATCTGGCGCCACCGCGAGCCACAACAGCCGTTGCACCAAGGCTCCCGTCCACCGGGGCACCCGCCATCCACACGGCCAGGATCGCCGGCCCATGCCCGCGCCACCGCCTGCCGCCGGGCCGGTGAAGCCTCTCCGACCAGGGCCGCCGCCCTGGGGAACACAGCCCCCCCGCAGCAGAGGCAGGGACGCCAGGGCCCCGCCACCACCTTCCTCGGCAACGCCCCGGGCTTGCCCGACGGCGGCCCTAGGCGGCGGCGAGGGGGAGGGGAGAAGAAAGGGGAGGCGGCGGAGCTAGGGTTTGGGGCCCCCGAGTCGCCCTAGCGGGGGCGACGCGAGGGGGAGGGGGGGGGGATTGGATCGATGTGATCCACCTTGCTGACAGGCTGGTGCATGTCAGTCTACATAATTCCACGTGCATGTGGTCATATGTGAATTTTATTCTTGTTTTCATGTTACTTCGAAGTACTTGTTGTATGTTTACTGTTTGCATTGTTTGGGGCTTGGGGGTGAGAACAGGGCAGTTCAATCTCCTCTCAACCCAAAAGTGATTATGTGCATATGTGTGTTTGGTTTGGTTCTTGTGGTGTTGATTTGAGCTTGGGAATGTGAGCTGGAGATTCTTGGGATCTTGGTCTGGGCTTCTTTCTATTTTCACCTGGAGAAGATCACCGTGGAGCAAAACAAAAGAGCCACAGACAATGAAATTAACACGCTCAATCAGTCAACAACTGTGGGAAAAACGAGATTTTTGTTTTCAAGTACATTTCGATTCAACCAGTCTGTCAATGTATTCATGTACATTTGCAGGTCATATCCTTCTTTTAAACACATTTTTTAGCCGAAGGCAGCAGCCCAAAACTTGGACTCCGGCACTGTCCACATCACGCCTTGGACTCTGGCAAGGCAATGTTTTTTTTTCCTTTTTGACTCTGCCAAGGCAATGTTTTTTCAACTACATACCTCCTATATAAACCTTTTTCACTATACAATGTAACTGTTTTCTTTAGAATGTGCTCAATCTTCTGCCAGCTTGGATTATCAGTGGTTACACAAGATTGTGTGAACTCGTCACCACAGTAACTTACTGTAATCTCCTAAAGAGACTTGGGCAGCGTTGGAAGCGACCGCACATTCTCGCATAACAGTATTTCCAGTCTCCTGAGTGATGTGATGTGCTCAATATTGCCTGGCAAGGCATTGAAACTGCAGGACACGACTTTAAACTCGTCAAGACTTGGGCAGTGTTGGGAGCGACCCCATATTCTTGCAATTGCAATTCCAGATCTCAAATTTCTTGATTGGTGTGAGGTGCTCCACATTTGCTCGTAAGGCACATATCCAGTTTAGCATTGCAGTTGATGATAAACTCCTCAAGAGAATAGGGTAGTGTTGGGATCGACAGCATATTCTCGCATGACCGTGGTATATCCAGTTGCTTCAGCGCTGTGAGGTGCTTCATATTGCCTGGTAAGGCATCCCAGTTGCGGCGCTACTGGAATTTCACCCTGCGTCGAGTGTTAGAAACACTTGGCGAAGGGCCAAATAAACTTGGCAAAGGGTTTGCCGAGAATTGTTCTTGGCAAAGAGTACTCGGCGTACACCTTTCAGGCAATCAGAACTTTGCCGAGAACCAAACATCGGGCACACGGCGAACAGTTTTCCGAGAGCCAAACAGTGCCTCTCGGCAAAATAAAGCGTCTTCATGGACAACAGAAGGAGACGGCGGTTGTCACGTGATGCAGGTTTGCCGAGAGCTAGACATTGGTTTTCGGCAAAAAAACAATGTGCACGACGCTGCGACGTGTCCACAACTTGGCAGGTGGGTCCCAAGACTAATGTCGAGGCTTGTCTTTGTCGAGAGCTATATTCGGCAAAACAAACGAATAGGAAACTATCACATGTCCACCACCTGACAAACAGGGTCTCAAGACTGATGTCAAGGATTGTCTTTGCCGAGAGCCGATCTCGGCAAAACAAACGAATAGGAAACTGCCATGTGTACGTCAACTGACATGATGGTGTCATGGCCTAAGCCGAGTCCAGTGTTTGCCGAGTGTTATGCTCGACAAAGAATAGCACCTATAGAGGCGCCACATGTCCACCAGGTACTAATGTCGAGAGCCACCTGTGAGCAAAGATATTGC